CACCAGCAGGAGCCTAGCTGACCAGGCAGACGAGGCATGGAGTTCGGTACCAAGAGGTGCATCACTGAAGCCAAGTTTTTCAAATAAGTCACATACTATAAACCACCACCACAGTCATTTATTAAGTGCTTGCCAGGCACTGTGCTAAAGCTTTACAGACATCATTTCAATTAATCCAGCAACCCTGAGGTAGATATTTTCACACCCCCACCCCCACACATCATTATAATAAAGGAAACCGAGACTCAGAGAGGTTAAAAGAATCAACCAAGGTCAAACCCAGCTGGTAAGTAGCAAACTAGAAGTGTGTACCAAAGGTATCAGACCCCCAAACGCATGCTTTTACACACTAGACTCTTTCCCCTTGAAAGCTAAAGGACACACATTCCTTCTCCAAATGTGACTTTGGGGAGGAGGGAGGGCAGCTTCCAGCTGACTCTTCGAACCAGTTCTTGTAGGTATTCTTCTGGAGGGACAGTGTCACCCAGCGATGTGCTGACCACTGGGCTCCTTTCTCTTGTTCCCCTTACCATTCCAGCCTTCCTCACGGGAGGCCTCCACTCTAGACACCAGCCTACTCAATACGCTGCTTCCCTTCTAGCAACCTCTGGAACGCAAGGGTCTGTCAAACCTGATGGCGCTGAGCCTAAGACCTGAGAGAAATTAGGAGACATTCAGGAAACGTCTCTCATCCCTGAACTGGGGACCCTAAGGCACAAGAACACATTCAGATGGAAACACAAAGTTCACTCCTTCCAGCCCGGTTCCCAAGCCTGGCCTCCTTCTAGCAGCCTCTCCTCACCAAGTCCTTTACCTCTCTAGGCCCCTCCCAACCGTCTGCAAGGCATCACTAGTCACAGGTCCATGGGCCTTGAGGACACCAGTTTCTGAGTCTTCGCTCCTCTAGAAATGTCCCCAAAGTCCTCAGCTGGGCTCCAATCAGGGCCCCCTGGATCTTTAATTAAAGAGCTGACTGAAGGACAAGCAGAAAGGACCACCAGAGTGGGACCAGCTGAGCCAGCATGTAAAGACAGAGGACAGAGCACACAGAACAGACCAGCCAGGGGAAAGTCAACAGGCTCCCTGAGGTCAGAATTAAGAGGGAACAGGGAGGGCCCTGTGGAGAGGGACCCTAGAGCCAAGCTGTCCAGCACTTGTCACCAGAGGGCTTCTTTGAGACAAAGAACCTTGGTAAAGAGGCCACTGAAAGCCTTGGTGGGAGCAAGCTCAAAGACCCACACAGAGGTGCATTATGAGGACCCCAAGAGAAACAGGTAGGGAGCGGAAAGGCCTGGGCCTCTGGAACCTCTGACTTACTTCTATCATTCCCACACCTACCTCATCTAGACAAAACTGGTCAGAGGGTCACTGCGGGTAGCCCTTGCTAAATTCTGCACCAAGTGTGAAGGATGAAAGACAACAGAGGTAGGGAACTTACCAAGGAGTGAGACAGCACCGTCCTTGAGAAGTTCACATTATGCAAGGGGACAGGAACCCTGGGATCTAAGGAACACACTCCTGATGAGGACTACTTGGTGCAGATTAATATTGTCTTAGGCATTTGAAGGGACAGAGAGCGCATGTTGAGGTAAATCAAGGATATTGGAAGATCTAAGCTGGATTCTCTACACCTTATTAATGGTTAGCTGTGACACTGTGTCACTAGTCTGAGCCAGGAATCTCGATGTCCCCACAGCCACAGCTGCTCTTATCCAGAGTAAGCCAATGTAGCTGAGAGGCTTGAAGGGGAACTCTTTCCCAAGAAGCCCAGAGCCAGTATCCATCCTCTCCCTCACAACAGGGCCTACCTTGCAGATCTGAGCTCTGCTACTTTCCCACAAGTTCCTGGGATTTGAGAAAGATCAGGTTTCCTGCAGAACCTCAAGTGCTAGAATGTGACATACACTTATCACAGTTGGGAGACCAGCAATGCTGACTATTACTGAAACATTTCCTCTAACAGTAAGCACATATCAAAACTACCCTACTGTTATTCTTTGCCCTGGGGCTTGTATTTAATACTTACTCTTCTATCTTGAACTTTGTTGGCAGAAAGATGTCTGTGTCTATACCCACCTCAAACTGGAATTGAACGCCTAGTCTGGGAAAACATGCAAGCTCCTCCCACACTTGTGAGAACTCCAAAAGAGTAGTTGGCCCAGAAGAATCTGTGTGTCAGAGATAGGGAGTGTCTCCCCATACTGGGTTGGCCCACTGGTAAGGATCCTTCCCTTCTCTGTCTCCTAACAGATTCAGATTAATGATGGCTCATTCCTAATTGTCAAATTTCTTTTCCTTCATCCTGTGTCTAATCACCAGTGACAGAAACCATTACGCAAATGAGAGCAGACGACTTCCCCCAACTGTTCGCGTTGGTAAAAACCTTGTAATTTAGAGCTCTGATTTGTAGGGGAAGCTGGTCTCCCCCAGGCATCCTGGGCATCTGCTCAACTGATGCCCAGAACAGCCCCTCCTCCACCCCATAACTCCAACCCCCCAGCAAATATTTGACTTCACAAAACAGTAATTTTCACTGTACTGCTGGTGTAAAAATGGCAGCTTGCAACATGGCTGACCCCTAGACAAGACCAAGTCTCCACCTTCCTTGGCACATCTGACTCCCACGCTGCTGTCCGAATGGGTACACTGTAGCAGCAAACCTTCCTGTGTTGCAGGGAGAATCTGAGCCTCAACAGCCCTAACCTAGGTGAGGGAAGACCAGGCATCTCATCCCCGGGAGAATGTGGCACAGCAGGGCATGCATCCAGCGCTCTGGAACCACCAGCTCTGAAGCACAGGCCTGTGAGAGGAGCTACGGGCCCTGAATGCAGGCCACACAGCACCCCCTCTCCCCAGCAGACCTAGAACTCACTCTTCCACAGTTGCTCCCTGCACACTTCACTTAAAAAGGCTTTCCAGGAGCTTTTGCATGCCTCTAGCTGGAGTCCCCAAAGACTTTCACCCTTCCACACCCTCTTGCCCGAGCCTGCCTGCACACTGCCTAGGGAACAAGACCTGAGGAGAGGTAGAGAACCAACAGAATTTGGAAGAAACAAAGGAGGAGCAGGGGTAGGGGTGAGTTTCTAGCCACCCCTAGTCTAACAGACTGGGTTTGCTCTTAACTGTCACTCTTCATCTATCTCTGAGCCGTTTCTTCACTGTGAAGTGAGAAGCTAGCACGCATGATTGTGAGGGACAGAGCTGAAGGCAACAGGCACACATCAGGTGTCTAGGATCAGGGGTAGCTACTACAACACACTGGCATCAAGACCGACCCTGAGACAGTCCCGAAGTTTACTTTCTTGCTCCTTGCCCCCAGTCACCCTAGGTCAGACCTGTACCCTAAAGGACCAACCAGGTAGACCCAGACTCCCCGCTACACATCCAGCACCTCTGAGGGCAGAGCCAGGGACACAGAGGATCTGCTGAGAATGAAGTCAGCCTGCTGACGGCCATGCCAATCCGCTCTCTCTGCTCTCCTGCTGAACTGCTCTTTCCCCGGAGACACGGAGGCCAGGGAGTTTACTGCAACCACACTGCCCAGCATCGGCTGCATTTGAAGAGCTATACTCAGAGGGTACCAGGTCTGCACACTCACATTGAATCAAAGCCCCCGGAATGGGGTACTAAAGACCCCCTCCCCAAAATACGTACACAGGTGCACACAAGCATTCACATGCATCTTCTCAGTCCACGGGGCACTGTAAGCAGAGCTTCACAGCTCAGACACTAAAGGTCAAGCTTAGGGGAATGGGGGAAAAGTGGGAAAGAGGTGAATAAAATTAGACTTTCAACTCAGATTTTAGAGAAAAAGATGATGAAGAAGGGACTTGAGGTAAGTGGACACAGGGCCAGCACTCTGCCAAACTGCAGGGGGCCCATTCCCTCTGAACAGATGTGAATGATGGCACTCTGTGTGGTGTAACATGAGCTGCCCGGCTAGAAGCTGCAGCCCTGAGAAGGGCTCCCATAAATAGCTACCAACAGGAAAGTAAACGCTACGCATGCTCTACCAGTTGTCCTACTCCAGCTGTCATGAACGTTGTGTTGGGTCTGGCAGAGGCGCTGGCTCTAAGAGGCCAGAGGACACTTTTGTCCTTGCCCTGAGGTGGATGAAAGGTATTGAGTTAGCTGCCTAAGTCTGATCCCATTTCATCTACTCAGCCAGGAAGCTCAGCAGGAGCAGGAGATGTGGCCTGGACAGGGAAAGACACAGGACCCGGAGGCTCAAGCCAGTCAGCTTTAGGTAGGCCGCAGTGAGATCTGACCAATTAGGATGGCTAAAATCCAAGTTTAAAAGCTATAGGCTAAGTCAGGCAGTATCTGGGGTCCACACCATACTGCCACATCGGACAAGGTAAGCAGTAGAGAACCTTGGTAAGCAAGAAGGATGGCAAGTGTGAACACACAAACACAGGTGTGCACCAGTGTACACACACATGCAGAGGTTCACACCCCTGGAGCCCAAAGAAATTAGAGCTAAAACTCCCTGCATGCCTAGCACAGGGGCAAGAACTGGTACTGAAAGGGAGCAGCTGCATGTGTCTGTACTTTGGAACATATGTGTAATCCTGTTCTTAGGTTCCCAAGGGTTCCTTCCATGTATGGCTTGAGTTTGTAGTTCTCAACCAGACCCCTATCTAACCCTCTTCCACCAAGTGTCCCCATAGGGACCCAGCAGCTAATGCTACCTGGCCTGTAGCCTGACTATGCTGCAAAAACTGGCAGAAGGCAGACTGAGAGCAGATTCCTTCTGGCACCACAACCCAGATGCAAAAGGGATAAAAGAGCATCTCCTCTCTCAGGCCGAGGTACTGAGGCTTCTGGAGACAGGAGCTGAGTGCCAGAGTGATATCCTGACCCAGGAAGAGGGAACAAGGAACAGATACATGCATGTGTGTGTATATACACACTCATGCACGCACACACACACGCGCGCGCGCGCGCACACACACACACGCACGCACGCACGCACGCACGCACACACACACACCCTGAGGTTGACAGACTAACACAGGCATGATGACAACCGGAAGCTGGGACTCCATACACTGAATGCAGGACTTTAGGGGGGCGAAGAGGGAAGGTTCGGGGGCTCAAGAGGCAAGGGTGAGAATCGTTCCAAATGGGAGTGGAGTCAACTACCCTGCCTCGCCCCAAACACCTGCCTCCAGGGCCATGGCAAGAGTCCAGTCCATTAAGTGCAGCGTGCAATACTAGTGCTTGGAGTGTCCTGTCCTCATCAACGAAGCATGTGGACGAGATAGCAGTCACCTGACAGGAGGCCTTGGCCTCTGGCAGGCTAGTTGTAACGGCCTTTAATCATGGTGTTCAACAAGGGCCCCACCTGTAAAGAGATATGAGGAGCCCATCAGAACTGCCTGTCTCCTGATCCCAGAGCAAGACTAAATGTGCCTGGAGACATTCAATATTCAGCCATGGACAAGCACAAGTGATCTGGACCTTGTAAACGTTCTAATCAAGTTTTCTGGATATCAACTGAGTATTCTAGGGCATGACCCTTTGGAGGGTCCTTCCCTTTTACAATATCCTGTGTATCTACAGGCAACATCCATCAGACAGAATACGATCCAAAAGCCAATAACCCCAAACACCCGAAAGTATGTCTGCACGTTTCTCCAAGGTACCAAGAATTTTAAATTCTCTACTCTAACAAAAGGCCACCTGCAGTTAGTCTTGGTGCTCTCAACCACTCAGGCATCTCTGATGTTGAGGCTAACCATTGGAAGGAGGTAAGGCAACTAAAATTCACATCTCCTTCTTTTACCCGATGGACCAGTAATATACCTGGGTGAGAAGCGGAGCTCAATACTACCTAGAGCAGCCCTGACCAAGCTAGGAGTGGACCGGGAGATGCTTTATTACACACTTCCTATTCAGAAGAATCCTCTCAGGGGTCCCCAGATGGCACATATGCCCCAAGGCAGACATTACTGTTAGCATGGAACGATTATAATGGATCCACCAGTCAAGCCAGCTCTCATCAGAAAACAAGATTTCCTAAATATACAAATAAAGTCTGTGAAGAGAGAGCAGTCACTGAGACAAGGGGAGCTCCAGAGAATGTCACCAACACTGAGCTCCAAAGAAGGTCATCAGCCCTTACCTCTTGTGGATTCCCCAAGGCCTCTCCAAGCATCTTCTCAATGTTTCTCATGATGGCTACTTTCTGATGAGCTTTGAGAGGATATTCAATTCTCTTAGGGGTAGGAGCCCCCTACAAAGGAAGCAATAGCTCAGGAAATACCTTTAACACAGGCTTTCAGCTCTAATACTACATTTCCTTCTAAAAAAGTTTATTTGTATTCTTCTCCATCTCTGTGCTAATCATTTCCAGGGTTACCCCACAACCCCATCCCAGCCCAAACCACTTACTACACTCTACCTACTTTACCCCAGCCCCAGTTCCATACAGATACATTCACAAATAAAATGTCTATGTCTGTGTGTGTGTGTATCAACAACAACAAAGTAACCCCCCAAAACAAACAAAAACAAACAAACAAACCCACTAATATTCACCTTATACCAGAAGTTCACAGTGATGGTTATTCCCCCATTTAGTAATGACTCTATGTGGTGCCACCTATTAAAAAGAAAAGAAAGAAAGAGTCTTCTGTTTACTTTCCAGAGACAAGGATGGGAAACTAGCATAGCCCGGCTAAGGGAAACAGTGAAGCAGGAGCTTTATGCTCACTGTAAAATACTCAGTGGGCCAGAGGCTTTGGCGTTCAGTCTCCAAACACTGAAGAGGTAGATACAGACACTACAGCTCACTTTGGATCTGAACATTTGTCTTCCTTTCCTAAGAGGCAGAGTTGTCCTCTACACTTACTGTGTTTATGTCTCGATATGTTAATCTTCCTGCAGGCTAATCCTACCACAACTGAGAAGGAACACAGATAAAGTTTTCTGGGACCAGGAAAGAGAGTCCCCATCCCTAGCCTCCTCACCAGTACATTGGGATGTAAAGAACATCACCAGGGCCAACCACTGTTTCATAACCAACCACATTTCGGAAATTAGGGAAACTCTCGTAGTCAGGATTATCAAAGTCCACCTATAAGAGTCAAGAGAAAGAAAAAAGATCAGTTAAAGCTTGTTTTGGCAGCTTAAAGAAAAAAGCAAGACTTAAAAAGTAACTTCAGCATTTGTATGCAAGATACAATGGTATGAACTGCCCCTCTCAGAGAACTACTTAAGGAAACCCATGCCATGTGTTACACACTAAATAACTCTAGACTTCAGTGCCCCTGGGCTCAGAAGAACTCCTCAAAAGCCTTAGGATGTGAGGAGTTAGGATTATCTGTCACCCAAACCTGTCCAAATGCTTTCTCCCAAACAAATCCTGACCAGGAGACTCCTACATGAAGGAGCAAGACATCTTTCTCCTCAGGAAGAGATGTTGGGAGATGGAGAGATGGCTCGGCAGTTAAGAGCACTTGTTGCTTTTGCAAAGGACCCAGGTTTGGTTCCCAGCACCTACATGGTGGCCTCACAACCATCTGTAACTCCAGTCCTAAGGGATCCAACGTCCTCTTCTGACCTCCACAAGCACCAGGCATGCACATGGTGCACATACATACATACATACATGCAAGCAAAACACTCATACACAGAAAATATTTTATTTACCTATCTCCCTATCAAAAAGTAGTAGCATATATGATAAAAGAAAACAATTATTAAAGTCAGTGGAGGCATTCATATTTTGATGAAACTGAGTCAAAAAAAAATAATCAAACTAAGTAATCTGAGTCTACCAACACTAATGATGGAGTTTGCCCCCCAGCAATTAGCTCTGTTTATACTTACAAATGTCTGGGGATCATCATCGGAGCCTGGAACATGTAGGCTACACTGTGAAATTATTCTCTGGACTTGTTTGTAAGGCAAGACCAGCCAGAAATGCAGACCTGACATACCCCAAAGGGAAGGACTAGTATTCCAGCCTCTGATCTCAAAGGCAGTTCTATACCCTCTTCAGATCGCATAGGCTCACCTGGCTCTGCCTGTCACAAGGATGATGAACAGGGTATGGATAGAGGCACTCAAACTGATCTGGAGGGAATAAGATGCATCGCTTATGGCCTTTGATCTGGGCAAAGAAGTTCTGTTGCTCATCATAGTGAGCAGGTGTCACATTTCCTGCAAGGAAGAAGACATTTTCTTAGTTGAGGTAGTGGCTCTACTGCACAGAGCCTAGTGCTGGAGTGAAGTCTAGCTGCCCCCCAGCTAAAAGTTAACTCTGAAGCAGGATAAGGAAACTGCAATTTCAATTCTTAGTAAATCAGTCGTATTTTATGAGTGGTAAACTCTAGCAACCATCTCTGGGTAAGGTCCATCATCAGCTAGTAGACTGTCCTCATTGGTGGCTGATGCCCTGATTGGCAGCCAGAGCTCACTAAACAAGTCTGGCAGGCAACAAGCTTATACTCTTCCTGACTATGGCAAGACTCCAAGGGCAGCAAGACAATGAGAAGCAACTGATATGACTGGTACCAATAGCACATATGATCTACTGACTCTGAGGTGCTAACTAGTGACTTTGGGTTCTAGGCATATGCTCTTGCTTCATGGAGCTCTTCTGAAGCCCAAAGATTCTCAATTGTTGTTCTCGCTTTACCACACCTATGGAACACAGCATCACGCAGAGCAACACTGGGGCTCACTGAGGCTGCTGACTCTCAAATGAGAAAAAGGCTACCAAATTACCGAAGAAAGAGTTGTAGAACTTAAGAGACATTGCTTAGAATGTCACCTGACTAGGCACTGTAGTGTAGCTACGTAAGAGTCCAAAGCAAGAGAATCAAAATTTCAAGGCCAGCATAGACAACTTAATGAGATCCTTACTCATGAAAATGTTTTTAAAACGGCTGGGATGGCTTAGTGCCACAGCACTTGCTCAGGAAACACAGGGCCTATGTTCAATCCTGGCACCACAAGTTTTACTATACATACATACATACATACATACATACATACACACACACATTGCTACCTTGAATTAGTTCTGCCTTAATGCATATTTCATCTATTCCTGCATAACTAGGGTCTCATCTGTACATTCTGTGTAATATCTGATTTAAAAACTATTCCTAGATGGACATGGTGGTACATACCTGCAACCCTGGCACTAGGGAGGCTGCGCAGAAGGACTGCTGTGAGTGTGAGGCTACCCTGAGCTACATGGTAAGTTCAGGGCCAACCTGGGGTATATAGTAAAACCCTGTCACAAACAAAACAAAACATCCATAGGCCAGCCAAATATGCCATAACAGCTGTCTTCCTACAGCCAACAGTTCAAGTGCACCCTCGAACAAAAGAGGCCTCTCATCTATACCAGAGGCATCTGCTTCCCAGCACCTGGCCACAGGAAAGGAAAGCAATGGATTAACCCAAGGAAACCAGGATTGTATTCTTTCTGAAAAACCAAAACTTGGTTTTAAAGAGCAGTGTCAATTCACAAGCTGCATTTGGGGAACCTGTTTACTATGTTATCAGTCATCCAAACCTGGGGAAATACCAATAAAAGAAGACTGAGGGCTCAATTAGGTCAGTGACATCAAATAATTATTGTTTCTTTCAACCATGTTTACACACCACTTACTACACAGCTGTTGATGGTCTAGCACTGAGCTGGTACTGGAAATGAAAATAACCCTACCCTGCAAGTAGTGTCCCTTCTCCCAAACAGCACTTACACACTTCTTTCTACTCACACAAAAGAAAACACCAAGGGGCTACAGAGGTGGCTCAGCGGTTTGGAGCGCTTGTTCCTTTGGCAGAAGGACCAGGGTTTGGTTCCTCGCACCCACATAATGCCTCACAACCATCCTAACTCCAGTTCAAGGGGATCCAGTGCCCCTTTCTGATGCACCAGACACAGAGGGTGTGCATACATACATGTAGGCAAAACATTCATACACATAAAATTACAAATTTAAAAACCATTAAAAAACCCAGAACATATTTACTTATGTATATAGACAGTTCCCTAGCAAGATACAAAAACTAGTATACTATGAAGTGCTTCTACAGACGGACACTGAGAAACTGGGAGTAAAGGGAGGAGAAGACTGATAACTAAAACCTATTTGTATCCTTTCAATTTTGAATCCCGTAAGTATGTATTTAAGAGATAAGGTTTCGCCATATTAGAATATGGCCAAATTAGAACGGTGGGACTAGCCTTTAATCTCAGAACTCAGGGGGCAGGAGCAGGTGGATCTCTGTGAGTTGGAGGCCAGCCTGGTCTACAGAGTTGAGTTCCAGGATAGTCAGAGCTACATAGTGAGACCCAGTCTTTAAAAGAAAAAGGTTCCATTTTTACAGGAATAAAATCCCCTCAGTACACTGAAAAGCAGTGACGTTACCCCAGTGCCTGCGCTCACACAGCAACTGAGAAAAGGGAAAGAACATTTTATTTTGTTTTGTTTGCTGGCTCAAACTCACAGAGATCCGCCTCACCTGCCTCTGCCTCCAAGAGTTGGGATTAGAGGCACCTGCACTGCCTGGCGAGAAAGGAAAAGACCGTCTAAGACTGCATGACACTACCCAAGAGACTTAAAAGATACGTTATCTCATTTAACTGTGGGCCGTTTATAAGGTCTAGCTTGTTCCACAGCGGATGAGGGAGCTGCGGCCTTAAAAAGTTCAGTGACTTGTTTGAAGTCATGGAGCTAGTAAGTGGAGAAGGACCAGAAAGCAGGTTTGCAGGATGTGAGGCCATGCTTTCAGAAGCATTCCTTACCTTCCATGCCGATGAGCAGGAGGTTAGAGGTCAGCTGCCCCCAGCCACGTTTTCCTTGTTGCTTATTAATCCAGTTCCAGTTAAAACCCAAGAAGTCCATGACAATCTTCCTCCCCACAGTGTCATTGAGGGTTTGCTGCAGATACAACCTACATTCCCCAAGAAAAAAAATTCCATCAGTGTGCAAGATCAGTCCCTGGTATGCTCTCTACATCTGGAAACCCAAATCTGTTACTAGCATCCCAACAGAGAGCAGTTGTAGTCATGCAAGACTTCAACACGGATTCACAGAGCTGAATTCTTTCTCCCTGTCTGAGCTCTGTCCCACAAGTTCTTTAAAGACTCGATTCTTAGCCTCCCGGGTCAGTACAGATTGCCTAAGAATGCAAAGCTTCGTATAAGAATGTGCACACACAGGGAAATACCATACACTTTAGTTTCCTGGAAGCCTCTCCACACAATCTGTGATGGATTTGCTTTCTTTCAGACTCTTGGGACCGGACACATCTCCTTTGGCCGCTGGATTCTAACTAACGTTCTTCACCACCCTTGTGAAAAGTTAACTCTTATTTAACTTGCTTTAACCAATGGAATGCCCACAGAGGGACTTGTGCTGCTTTCAAGTATGATTCTAAGAAAACACTTGACATTATTATCGTTTCCCCCTTTGCTACATCCAACCGCAAGATTCTAGAGTGTAACCACTGGGACAATTTGTGTCCGAGAATCAACAAGATGTGACCCACTACAAACATACAGAAGAGTGAAAAATAAGGGACTTTACTGCCTTAAATCCTACCTAACAGTTATGGCAAAATTAACTAGAAATCTCAATAACCTGGAAAAACTAGCTACAAGGAATCTTCAAGATTTTCTCACAATAACAGAGGCTAGCCTTGAATTCCTGATTTTTCTGCCTCTACTTCCTGAGTGTAGTGATTACAGGCATGTACACCATGCCTAGTTATAACATACATAATAAAAAAATTAGAGACATGCTGGGCATTGATGGCACACGCTTTTGATCCCAGCACTCAGGAGGCAGAGACAGGGGGATCTCTATGAGTTCTAGGCCAGCCTGGTCTACAAAGCTAGTTCCAGGACAGGCTCCAAAGCAATACAGAGAAGCCCTGCCTCAAAAATCAAAATAAAACAAACAAACAAACAAAAAATTAGAGACACTTCCAGAAATGAATATAAACAATATTTCTATTACAATTGAATAATAAAAGCTCAAATATCTCACAGTATGCATGTGGAGGTCAGAGGACAACTTGTGAGAATTGGTTCTCCTGCCAGGTTGGTCTTGGGAGTAAACTCAAGTTGACAAGCTTGTTACTAAGTACCTTTACCCACTGAGCCACCACAATGGCCCAGGCATTTAAAATCTATTTACTTAGGTACGAGCTGCTGACAGGATGTCAGAAAGAGAATCAAGATAGGAGTCTATAGAGAACTTCAGACATGGCCACCAAATGCAGGACAGTCATTCGCTATTAAATACTGAGCAAAAGAAATTCTCCAGGGGCAATTTACAATGTGGGACTGACTGGAACCTATATAAATGGGCTATCTTCAGAAGCAGAAGTAAAAACAAAGAGGAAGAAAGAATCACTCTCCCAATGAGTTTTGGTCACTGGTACAAAACAAGCCATCTATTCTCATCTTCCCAAAGCTAAAGGATCCTGATAATCCCTTAACCCCAAATCATAAAAAACTACTTAACCCAAACGGTATTCTAGAACCGAACTTCAAACTGTCAATTTCAGAGCTAAATTCAACAAGCAATTAGTGTGTGTGTGTATGTGTGTGTGTTTTAATTCAGAAGCAGAGCTGGATGGCTCAGTGGTTAGGAGCACTGGCTGCTCTTCCAGAGATCCTGAGTTCAATTTCCAGCAACTACATGATAGCATGATGGCTCACAACCATCTGTATTAGGAGCTGATGCCCTCTTCCAGGCTGCAGGTATTTATGCAGAGCACTCATACATAAAATATTTTTTAAAAAGTCAGAAGGGCTAGAGACATGGCTCAGCAGGTGAGAGCTCCTGCAGAGGACTGGAGTTCAGTTCCTGGGACCCATATGACAGTTAACAACTGTCTGTAACTATCTGCAGAGGATGGAGTGCCTTCTGACCTCTGTGGGCACTGAATATTTACCTCACACAAGACATACATACAGGCAAACACCCACACATGCCTGTACTCCCAGCACTCAAGGCAGAGGCAAAAGGATCTTGGTCTATATGGCAAGTTCCGGGCCAGCCAGAATACAGTGAGACCCTGTCCCACACCCCAAAAACCCAAAACAACACAAAACAAACATCTGCACACATAAAATACATTTCCCCCCAAATTCCCCCAAATTCCAAAGACTTTAATAAGAATCTTCACTTTTTGAGCTTGCCTTGAAAAATTAGAACCGTGGGACAGCTCTCCCAAACAGAAACACAATGACTCCTTACTTCAACAGAATGAATGCCTTCAGCCTTATTGTACTTTCTGCCTAGACCTATTCAAGCCTTTTCGCACGGCTGACCCTGCCAGGCAACTGTCACACTCTTATCCAATTCCACCACACCTTCAAACAAGTACGGGAAAGCGAGAGAATGCTCTAATTCTACCGACCGGGCAACTTACCGCTCTTCTCCCCCTCGCTGCTGTATATCCTGAAGTTTCTCAACAAACTCGTGAAATTTAATTTCCTCCCTGCTGGACCTTGGCTTAAAGTTCTGGAAATTAGCCATCTTCTTTTCATCATAGTATAAGAACTTATGGGTGCTGGCACTGTAAACAGAGAAATCCCCGTTGCCAATATTCTCTTGCAGGTATTCTAGGTCCCACTTCAGAGCAGGATACACAAGGTTTGTGTCGGTCAGCACCACAGGCTCCTAAGCAAGAAATCAGAAAAATCAGGCAAGTAATTCCGAGGAGTTAATCATTGCTTTTCGACGACATTTGTACTTGTCTAGTTCACGAGTTCTCCGGTCGAGCACTCCGGGCGTACCATCTCTCTGTCCCGCCCCTTAAAGCTCAGCGCACAGCCCCGCCAGTTTCCCACCTCTCCCCCTAACTGGGTCCCTTCCTCCACCCCTTCGGCAGCTGCCCCGCCCCCCACCTCATTTTCGATGAGCTCTTCCGCCCGAGGGTCGCTCTGGCTCAGACGTGGGATGGGCCGGGTCGGGAAGCTGTAACTTCGTAGTTGGGACTCATCCCAGGCAGGACCTGGAGCTCCCGCCTCTTCCCGGGGCTCTCCAGAGCCAGAGGCTGTATCCCCGGCCCCTGTCGCCGCCATCTCTGCTCTAGGGACGGCCCCGCCGGAAGAGGAATCTCCGCCCTTTCCGGAAGCAACCACAACGCACACCATAGAGATGAACTGCGAGAGAAACCGTCCAGACCCTTTAAGAGGGCGGGGCCGTGGGTTGAAGGAGCTCTCCCGAACGGTGACCGGCCGCACTACAGCCTAGGCTCAGCCCTTGGCTGACCCGATTAGTTCCTTAGAAAAGGGACTAACAAATAATTAACAAAATATTAAAAATAATAATGAAACTAACAAAACATTGCTGCCTCGGCATGCTCAATCCTACAGAGACAAAGAAGGAGGCAAATATAATTATTAAACTTTGCTCTCATGGGTGCAGAGAGAAGCCAACGTTAGACCCACTTAAGGAAATCATTAGAAAATTCAGTTATCGCGTAGATCTTGGGTAAAGCTATCCTGAAAGCTTACGCAGACGATTAATGGCAAGCTGAATTCGTTCAGAATCAAGGGAAGATCAAGGGCTTACAGTTCCAGATACTCCAGAGGCTGAAGCAGGAAGCAAGATCACTTGAATTCAAGAATTCAGAGCCAGCCTGGGCAACATGGCAAGCCACCATTTTTTTTGTTTTGTTTTGTTTTGTTTTTGTTTTTGTAAAATAAAACCAAGGGAAAAATTCTTTTGTTTAGTTATCACTTAAGTCTTTTGTATATGTAATCATCTCTCCTACTTAAATCTATTCTTGCGATGAGACCAATGTTATTCAACTACAGACATCCATATTTTTAAACAATATATGCTGGTTATAAAAGACTATGTCAATTGCTTTGCTTGCTTACTAGATAATTCTAATGTATACCTATGGGAGGGAGGCCAAGATTTGTACCCATTGGTGTATATATTCTATTTAAGTCTCCCCCCCCTTAAATGCCAGCAAGACCTGTGAATATGACAGGGTGCTCCTGTAATTAGGTTACATTATATGGCAAAGATGTAGTCAAAGTCTCTAACCAGTTGCTTTCAAGATCGTCAAAATGGAGACCTATCCTGAATAGGGCTAATATTATCTCTCTAGCCCTTTAAGTCTGAGCTTAAGGGTCAGAAACAGAAGTCTTGAAGATCTGAAACCAAAACATTGCTGTCCAGTTTGCCTTGAAGGATCACATATGCTACATGTCAGAGAATGGCAGGTGAATTCTTTGAAAGCTGAGCAATAGAAATGAATACACTCTTAATTATATAATTATGCTATATAGTATTTATAATATAAGCACTGATAACAGAGTTATCTTTGTGAAGGGATTTGGCAGCACTCAAAGTTTTATCTGCAATGTTTGAATTTTTCCAAATACATCAATTTATAACATTGGAAATTAAAAATAAATCAGACCTAGAAGTTCATATCACTAAAATCAGGTATGAATGCAGGAATATATAATACGCTATAAACAAGTGTATGTAAAAAAAAGAGAGAATCTAGATGAAATAGAGGAATTCCTGTAAAAACACAAACTATAATAACTAATGCAAAAAGAAGTAGAAAAATCTAACTGGACTCTTATCAAAACTACATTAGGAAAAAAATTCAAATACCATATAAAGAAGCCTAAAACAATATGGATTCATTGATGAATCCTACTAAATACAACAGAATTAACAACAATCCTCAGAAACAGAAGAGCAGGGAAGACTTCCAAATTCATTTTATGAGGCCAGCATTACCAGATACTAAAATGAGATAGATAAAGAAAAGCAGGTCAATATCCCTTATGAATATACATACAAAAGTTCCCTGCAAAATAAATATAATACCATATAAAAAGGTTTAGGCACCATAACAAAATGGAACCTATTTTTGGAATACCTGGTTTATTTAACATTTGAAATGTTAATCAATATAATCTATTAATAGAAGAAAAATGCCACATGGTCATCTCAATAGTCACAGTAGAACCTTTGGGGAGACTTTAACATGACATTTTCCATGATAAAGCAGAGTTCCAAAGGACATCATTGAGACAGTAAGAAGACAGGAACAGTGACATGTCTCAGTTGGTAGAGTGCTTGTTAGCACTCACCAAGTCCTGGGTTTGCTGCCAAGCATGATATGAGCTGGCCATGGTAGTGCATGCCCAGTGCTTTGGAGCTAGAGGCGGGAGGATCAGAAGTTCAAAATCCTCCTCAGGTATACAGCAAGTTCAAGGGAAGACTGCTCTGCATGAGACTGCCTCAACAAGAGAAAGGCCTGTGCCACCACTGCCTAGCACCTCTGCCCTTTTACCTTTATTTTTTCATACACTTTGCTACATGTCACAAGTCATCAAAGTAAAGCAAATGAAAATGAGATACTGTTATCCCTTGCTTGTGTTGATCTAAAAAAGAATGTATTGGAAAGTTAATCCCCAATGTAAGTGTTGAGAAACAAAGCTTCATGGGAGGAGTTCAGGTCTCAGGGCCCCACCTTCACGAATGAATGGCCCTTATTATAAGAGGGCTTGAGGTTGGGAGTTCAACTGATGCTTTTGCATGTAATCTCTGGCCCTTCACCTCCTGCCTTTTACCACTGAATAACATATCAGGAGACAATCACCAGGTGTTGACCCCTTAACATCGGATCTCTTAGCAATCAGAACTGTAAAAGATAGATCTCGGTTTTTAAGTTTCTAGTCTCCAAACAGAGCAAGAAAGATGTCATCCATGCCCAAAAGGCTGGTTTTAACCGAAAAGAAGGTAGCAAGTGTTGACGAGGACAAAAACACTTGGTGGGTGGGAAACAGTGCAGCTACTTTGTAAAAACATCTGGGAGTTTTTCAGGAAAGGAATCATACAAGACATCCCAGAGTGTGCAAATCTATTCTTAGGACATAGCCCACAGACTTGAAAACATACATTCAAGCTTGGTGTGATGGCTTGTCTCTGTAATCCCAGCACTTGATAGGCCAGAGCAGGAGGAGGGTCTCCATTCAGGGCTTCAGAGTGAGTTCAAGGACAGCCTGGGTTACAGAGTGAGACCTGGCCTCAAGAAGCCAGAGAACAAGACCAAAAAGAAAGCTAACCCACAAATCAAGGAAAAAGAAAATATACCATGTAAAGTCACAGGAAAATCTGTAAAAGAATATTTATTGTAGCATTATTCACAATAGCTCCAAAGGGAAAACAACCCAAATGTTCATTAATTGGTAAATGTATAGTGCTGTATAGCCACACAATAGACCATCACTTAGCCATGAAAATAAGTGATATATTGCTACATATTGCAATGTATTCACATTATTTGAAAGTAGACATAAAGGTTACACGTTGTATGATTGCCGTTCTATAAATATACAGGTTAGGTAAAGGAATAGAAACAGAAAGTAGGTTAGTGGTTGCTAACTATGTGGGAGTAGAGGAAATATGCTAATTGGTATGAGGTTTTTCTGGGGGAGTGATGAAACGCTTTAGAATTAGATGAAATGACAATTACACAACTTTATAATGAACATTAAAATCTGTTTACACTTTTTTTTTTTTTTGAGACAGTCTCATGTAGCTCAGACTTGCCTTAAACTCATGATGTAGCTAAGGCTGGCCTTGAACTCCTGATTTTTCTGCCTTCACGTCTCGTGTTGACATTACAAAAGGTATAGACTATCATGTGAGGCTTGTTGTGTTCTTTAAACATAGTAGGGCTGGACAGCTGTCTCAAAATTTAAGAGTACTGGCTGCTCTTCCAGATGACCCAGGACCAGTGTTCAATTCCCAATACCGGAATGAAGGCCAACAACTCCAGTTCCAGGAATCCGATGCCCTCTTCGGCCTCCTCAGTACTGCATACACGTGGAGCACAGATATATGTGTAGGCAAAACCACCCATACACATAAAATTTTTTCTTTTAAAAAAGAATAAATTACATTGTATATAAAAGACATCCTAAGCAGATAAATAACCTAGACCTATTTTGTTTCTTGAGCCATATGAGATCAGGGTTTGCTATTTGTTAAATGCACATGTTGTCAAATTAATTTTGATGATGTAGCGACTCTACAAGAGGACAAAATGTACTGCAGTAATTCCCCCCAAATTTATACACTGAATACTAAACGTCTGTGTTTGTCGCTCTGGTGTACACTTAAGAACGGATTCTATTTCAGTGATTTTGTTAATAAGAGTTGACAGAAATATGTGAGTAGTCATAATGTGTAAAATAGCCAAACCCTACTTGTGTAAGTAAAACGAAAACTTAATAGTATGCAAACATGTCTCCCAGGCTACTGTGTTAAGAGTTTGTTAATTGTGTTCGGTTTGAAATCTGTTTTTCCTGGCAAATGGCAGGTTTGGGGCGGTGTCAGGGGAGACGCCTTTGGTAATAGGCTTGGTTTTATATTTGTTGAGGGTGAGGAGACTGGGACGTTTAGATGAATTGCGACTAAGGATTTAACTTCGAGCATCGAAGAAAAGAAGCCAACTGATTTGGAGTAAGGACCAAACAAAAGCAAGAGCTAAACCTGTAAAACGACCACGCATGAGGACGGAAGCAGAAACGTGGAATGGGGATGGGGTGCAAGCAACTTGAGGAAAGAGTAAGCTGAATTTACTTGGGTCGTTTGTCTGAAATGTTCGGTGGGAGCCCGCATGAAAGGGCCTCAGTCAGCGGAAGGAGAAAAGGAGCGCCACAACTTGAAATAGCAAGTAAGAAGTAGCTGTGTTTCCTCTCCTTCAAGCCACCCGCCACAGCTTGACCCTGGGGACCTTTGCGCTGGCTTTACCGGTCGCGTTTGGCCCCGCTCAGCCACCGTGACTCGCCTTTTGCGCATGCGCACGGCGAACGGCTGAGAAGGTGAAGATGGCGGCGGCCGGGGCTGCAGCTCTGGCAGCCCGATGCCTGCGAAGGGCAACCCGCGGCGTGGTGCCACTGGGGGCACGGACAGGTCGGCCAGAACGCGCGAGCCGCCGGTGTGGGGACGGGGTGCCCGAAGCTGGCTGTTTCGGGCGGGGGCTTCCTTGGTACGGTGGCGGCGGTGTCCCGGCAGGGGCAGGGGAATTAGCGCCCGGGCCTGGGGATGGAGGGTTGCCGGGGTCC